ACACACACACACACACACACACACACACACACACACACACACACACAGCATATTAGCTTTATTAGATTTGAGTGGTAGTGGCCTCTGGCCCGTGAATGAGTCAGTGAATATGAGTTGCAGAGGTTAAGGTGCTCGGCCATTCTGAAAAGACATACTGAGTCAGATATTACAGGGGTCACAACTACAGACTTACTCTACTTATTGTTGGAATGCTGTTAAGCTACAGACCATTTCAACATTTCAACAGCTACAGACACCATTTCAACTTTAAAATGTTGAGAAAACCCTTAGGTATTGCCTAAGGGATACCTAAGGGAATTCTAACTGGAATGCTTGTGATGAAGCCTGTCATTTAATAACCTGTTTGTGTGTTTCATACTTTCTGATTCTGTCTCCTCCTCCCCCTCTCTCCCCCACCCAGCCCCACCCTTTCAAAATAAAAGCCCTATGGATTAACTGTATTTAAATGTTACGCTCAAAAGCCTTCTTCTTCTCATACTTTCAGCTACATATGACTTCATATTTGTAATCTTTCAACGTTTTGAATTATTAAGCTTTTTGCAATTTTTTTTAAATTGGATATCTATTTTCAGCAATGTTTTTGAGATTCATTTCAGCTTTCAGCATTCCAACGCATTTTCAGCAGGAAATGCATTTTCTAGTTTATTTTTATATTTCTTCCGTACGTTTTTTCAAACTCTTCTGCTCCTTCATATTTTAAGCTACAGAAACCGTTCAAATATCAAAATGTTCAGCTCTTTCAGGAGAGGGGTGCTATGACTTTTCATAATTATAATCTTTAAACTTTTTGAATTATTAAGCTTTTTTCACATTTTTCTTTGAATGGGTTTCAATGGAGAAAATGTTCAAATCCTCTTCATCTTTCAAATCCTTCTACTTCCTCATAATTTCAGCGACAGACACCATTTAAACTTTAAAATGTTGAGAAACCCCTGAGCTATTGCTACATGATTCAGCTTTTTGATATCTTTTACAGTTTTTGAACTGCAGCAATTTAACTTTTATGATTTTTTCAGTCCTTTTCTGACTTTATAATGGGTGTGTATTGCGCAGCTTAGAGTGCGTGATGTCACCGCTAGAGTGAAGAGCAGCTTGAGATTCTTGTGAAAAAAAGATTTGTGTTTTGCCACTGAGTCCACAATCTTCACTCTTCATGCACATACACTCCTCCCCCTCTCTCTCTGTGTGTGTGTGTCTCTCTCTCTCTGTGTGTGTGTCTCTCTCTCATACAGTCATTCAGGTCTTGGAGACTTTTAGAGGACCCCCCCCACACACACCCCATTTCAAAATACAACCCCCAAAGAGTGAATTCTAACTGAAATGCTTGTGATGAAGCCTGTCATTTAATAACCTCTGTTTATGTGTGTCAAACATTATGATTATGTCTCCTCTCCCCCTCTCCCCCCCACCCAGCCCCACCCTTTCAAAATAAAAGCCCCATGGATTAACTGTATTTAAACAACCTCAAAATTAGGCTTTTTTGTTAAAAAAAATGAATGCTCTTACTAACACTGCGACAAATACTACTGCTGCTGCTAATATAGTATTACTACTACTACTGCTATAACTTTTGCTGTTGCTACTATTACTACTACTGCTACTGCTATTACTGCTACCATCAATATTATTACTACCACTACTGCTATTACTACCACTACTACTATTACTTATACTACAACTGCTACTACTACTACTGCTATTCATGCTACTAAAGGTAGTAATACTACTACAGCTATTAGTACGACTGCTACTAGTACTACTACTACTGCTACTTCTTCTACTGCCATTACTATTACTACTACTACTACTACTTCTACTGCTACTACTGTTATATTAAATACTATGACCAATACTACAGCTATTACTATGACTACTGATACTACTTCTTCTAATTGCTAATACTTCTACTACTAATAATACTTCTACTACAACTTCTACTACTACTACAAATATCACCACTGATGAAATTTTTTAAGCCACAGAAACCATTCAAATATCAAAATGTTCAGCTCTTTCAGGAGAGGGTTGATATGACTTTTCATAGTTCTTTAAACGAAGTAATCTTTAAACTTTTTGAATTATTAAGGTTTTTGCAATTTTTTTTAAATTGGATATCTATTTTCAGCAATGTTTTTGTAATTAATTTCAGATTTCAGCATTCCAACGCATTTTCAGCAGGAAATGCATGTTCTAGTTCATATTGGCATGTGATTATACCCTAAATGTGTTGTGTGTCCACCAGGCTGACCGACCATATTTCAATTACTACAAAGAAAATCAGGAATAGAGACCTGTTGAGCTTCACATTGTTAAAAATGATTGTCTTGGTGGATGTCAACATAAAAAAGAAAGAAAGATTTAAAAAAAAAAGGATGTTAAACCTCCTAAATACTTAAACTTTGGGTCATCATGCACTTTTCTAGGCTAATGCTAAAACACATAAAACAGGTAGCCGTGTTATAAAATACATTTGTAACACCAAAACAAAAAAGGGGTGGATAAACAGCTGTCATATAATAATCATGCCAAATAATCATGATGTACATTTCCACATAGGGATGGGTATCGTTTTATTAATGCTAGTGCTCTCAGTGATTCTGCTTATCGGTTCGGTTCCTTATCGATATTCTTATCGGTTCTTTTTGATTATTTTCGGAGAAAAAAAGACAATTAATTAAGAAAGAAATTCTTGTATGTAAACAAATAGTCCTTGAAACATTCCGAAACTCCATATAGCATCACTAACGTTCCCTGCAGTGGACGAGGATGGACGGCTGCTCCACAAACAGTAGAAAACTGATCATTTCTGCAGATTGATGGTCTGCTTGTTGGTCACATGTTGTGATAAACTGCTGCTGTTTACTCTCTTATTTGTGAGAGGTTTTTTTGCATTTGTGACAGCGAGAGTTCATCATCTCCTGGAGTAAAATGTAGCCACACTTTGGATCCTTTTCTTCTCTCTGCCATGATGTGTGTCTCACGCTGTACTGAGCCGGAGTCGGTGTGTGTCAGAGTAAAGCACAAAGAGACAGAGGGAGGAGGTTTGAGACGAGGACATCTCACTCCAGAACTTCTAGAGTACCGATAGCAGAACCGTAAACTCCGGACCGCATCAATACTCTGTTTTACTCATTTAGGACTTCCCCTTTAACAACAGTTTCGGGGGGGGGGGGGGGATCCGTATTTCAACCACTGTAATACATTCAACAATATAATCATGCACTTCTAAACAACTTCCAAAGTGTTATTGACCTATTTCAGTCACTCTGGGTGTTTATATAGTAATTAGGGTTGCGATATACCAGTATTGATGATAACCATATTCAAAAATAAAAAGCTGATATCATGTTAATAGAACACATATGATAAATGTGCGTAATTAACAGCACCTCCTAAATCATTTTGTATGTAGAGTTATGGTTACAGACTCTCTCTTCACCTCCCTGCATACGTGTTTTGAGTACAATTCATTTGCCAAAAAAGAAAGAAAACGCACAATAAACAAAGAATTTGATAGAATTTTTTTCGTGATAATATTTATTGTTAAAGTCCCAAGCAACCACCTGGACTCAATA